TTCTTCAGAAAAAAAACTTCAACACGATCAGTATTTCCTCTTTTTTCAAATTCAATTCTCGATCGTTTCGTCATTGAAGCTCTCTCAACACACTTTTTGATTCATTTTTTCCTTTTTTTGTCTTTTTTTTTTCTTCAATTTTTTTTTTATTTCTAATTCACTTTTCAATCATAATCATTCGTGTTTTCCATTCAATCGGGCCATATATGGATTCTCTCTCTCTCTTCTCTTTCACTTTTCTTATGAATTTATTGATATTTCAATTGTTTTTTTTTGCTTCTTTTCCGAAAAAACCTATTTGCCACTATATATTTCATTCTATTAAACATCATTTTCACATGTTTTGGAAAGTTTAAAAGGAAATTGAATGAAAGAGAGAGAGAGGTGGAGATAGAGAGAGATACTGCAAGGAACTGAAAGGTTTGTAGCTTAAGACCTCAAATAAAGAAACCAAAAGGCTAAAGCTTTAAAGTGAAAGAGTATAACTTACAACCATTTCCGCCTACTCCCATGACGTTCAAGCCGATTCGAGAATCTCTTTCCCATTTTCATCATCTTCTGCTTTTTCTTCTTTTTTTTTCTCCTTTTTTTATGAACGAAGAAAAAAAACAAATGGAATTCACAGTTCGGCTGTCTGGATGATCAGATTGAAAATCCGTTTTTTTCCTGCCCAAATTCTGAATATCTCTCCTATCCGGTTACACTAAGAAACTTTTGACTTGAAATTCAATATAACATTGCTTTCTCCATAGTTGGTCAAGTTCAGCTGATCTGCTTTCCTTGAATTTCAAAGAAAAGAATTTCCGAATTTCTGCCAACAAACGTCGGTTCAATCCTGTTATCTGTGAAAAATGCTATTCCGACACGTTTTTTTTGCGAATTTTAGTTTCAAATTTTGAAAATTTTCCAGAAAAAAACAGTTTGTTTTCTGCTTTTCCTATGGAGCATATACAAGCTATTTCGTCGTTAATAAACATTTTATTTGACAGGAATAGAGAGAGATATAGATAGATAAAGAGAGATAGAGAGAGGTGGAGGATAAAAAAATAATTTTTTTTCTCCTCTCTTCGCCCCCGTTTCTGGTAGAAGTAAGGACCTTATGAGATACATCTCAATGTGGTTTAAGAGTTCTATGAGTTTAAAATGTTTTTTTCTTCACATATAAATTATGATTCTCTTGAGGTTTTTAAACTGAGTAACCAGGATTGATGACGACAAAATTCATATTTTGGTCTCATTGTTTCTCAGAGGCGAGTTACAGCAGAGTCTTATGATACTTGTGACTCAACTAGCACACAAGTCGTCAGCCTAATTAAGCAAATATTTTTACTTCGAAAACAGTTTTTTTTTCACAATTTTTAACATTCAATTAGTTATATATCGTGCTAATTATATAATTTTATTCAAACTGACTAGAGCGAGATGAGGAAGGGGGGGGATGAAAGGAAAGAGTAGACGAGTGCTGTGGGGCTTGCGGTGGATTCTTCCGCCGACTAATGGTCATTCACACACACACACACACATTTCTATCATCAATCACCTTTTTGTAGAAGCTTCAACGCGTTTCAATAAGAAAATTTTTTAGCTTTTTTGTTCATTTTTCTTTTGTTTTATTATTTTTTTGTTTTACTTTGCACACATCAATCATTTAGCTGATAGTTTTGAGTCAACTCATCACATCATAGGTAAAACCTCTTCCAGCTTTTGATGAGAAGCACAATTAACTTCGGAAAGCTGACTAATTAATTTCATAGCTTCCTCCTCACTTTTGCCGGCAAGTACTCCCTTATTTTCTATTTCACAAATATCCTCATTCAAACTTCTTTTTCTCTATGTCTCTCCCTCTCTTGATGTCTCCACCTTTGTCTTTCTCTCTATTAATCCTACAACCACACGTTTTTCCATCTGGTTGATCTTTTTTGGATGCCATTGCGCTCACGGCTTTTTCCCTTTTATTTTTATTCCACTGCTATTCATTGCTTGTAATTTATAATTAGTAATACTAGGAACATCTTATTGAAGAAACTCACATTCAACTCCCCCAATTTCTCTCTCCTTTCTTCTCTATCTCTCTCTATCTTTCTCTCTCTCTCTCTATAATCTTCATCCGAAGAAATATTTAACTTTAATTCTTAAAACTAAGGACGAAAAACAACCGCTCAGCTCTGCTTCAAATTCTTAAGATAGCATCAGCTCGCACGTAAAGTGGTAAGACCAGTTTTTGCGTGAGTCTGACGTGTATTCACGTCTGATATTCTAATTTTTGAAAAGAAGTGTTAATGTCCTTCCGAAAGAAATGAAGAAATGAGAATGAGAGAAAGAGGGAGTAAGGATGAGATGGGAGAAAAAAAAGCTTCTCATGTCACGTCTGTATTGAAAAGGAAGAGCATTTCCTTCACTAAACTATCTGCTTCTAAATATGGAAATTTCTTATCCGGAAACAAATTAATCTTTTTTGAATAAAAGAACTGGGCTTGCCCAAAAGTTGTCGTCTCTTTTCATATTTTTTCCATTAAAACTACATACAGCAGCTGAATGTTTGTATTTTTGCTTTTGATCACAAAAGACAAAAGCATGTTTTAACGGATAAAGCTTTATTTTCTTTTTTTTTTCTTCTTCCTCCTCTCACATAAAGCTAATTTCATTTATTTTTTAAAAAGAAATCTGATTAATACCATGGCTAAGATGAGGTATGAAAAGAAAAAGAAAAAGATTCTTTTTGGAAGTATCCTTTCGATAATCTATTTTATTTGTGTTTGTTTTTCAATAGCTTGCAAGAACCTTCGCAATACCTCTTTACCTCTATATCTCTTGCCTGGTTTTGTTATCTTACCTCTCCATTCTTTTCCTTTTTTTTTTCTTCCACTCTCTCTTTCCTTTTCCATTTTTTTTGAAATCAAGAGAGCTGGAGAGTGAGAGAGAGAGGTATAAAGAGAGATAACGAGACAGATAGAAGGCATGTGGAGGACTGTTCGTATTTTGGCTGAAAATGTGTCGACTTTGTGTATTTTTTTTTCTGTTGAAGGAATGGAACGAGCAAAAAAAAACTTTCTTTCACTTGAGAATCTTTTTCGTTCGGCTCATTTTTAATAAATCTTAGAATGGCTTCTTGTCTCGTGTATACTAATAGAATCAATAAGCTTCTTTCTCACTTTTTAATTTCATTTAAAAAAGAAATTTCATTTTTATAACCTCAGAAACTCACAACTTCTCTTTACATCCCAAATTAATGTTATTTTTGAGAAAAAATAAAAAAAAGTTTGAAAAGCAGAGAAACGTCTTTGAGGAGTTTCTCTATTCAATTGCTTTTTGGCTGCTTTAGAGACAATATGATTACTATCGTCTAGTACTCGTTAGTGCAGATTTCTTCAGCTTCTTCTCATTCTTAAAAAAAAAACTTTTTTTTGCATCATTTTTTTAATGTGAACAACGTTGAGAATGACCAGATTAGCGTCGTTGTCATCAATGCTCTTAATTCAAATTTTATTGGAGGAAGAAGCTGGAGAAGAAGCTGATGGAGGGAGAGAAGCTGAAAAAAAAAGACGAGAATTTCCTCTCAACTTTCAGCTTATTGAACTAAGTCTGAAAGGTTTTTCAAAATTTAATTTGAATTGTACGCTGTGCTCCATTTTTTTTTTGGTCGTAATAGGAAGGATGAAGGAGAAGATGAAGAACAAGAACAAGCCGGAGAGGAAGAAGAAAAGAAAAAAAAAACCTCTCATTGGATGATATCATCTGTCTTCAATGTAATCTTTTATTATCAAAATCCATAAGCTGTCTGATATTAGTTGAATATTAGAAAATACACGTCTCTCTCCACTCTCATCCGGCATACCAACGAAGAGAATTTTTTTAAAAATCATCCGTCTCTTCAACTCTTGCAATCTTCAAATGAGAATTTAAATTCCTTTATTTTGTTTTAGATTGAATAAATTTATGGATTAAAGCTCATGAAATATGATTCTGCCATCTAAAATCACTTTTTCAAATCAAAATTTGTGCAAATACTACTTTCCTCATCACATTCCTTATTTTGAAAATGTCAATCGGAAAAGCGTATAATCTTTGTTGTGTATGTGTATGTATATGTGTATATTCTATGTACAATGTTTCACTCTCTCTCTCTCTCTCTTTCTCTCTCTACGTTGTGTGTTGGAAGCACAAAACAACCTTACCTTAACGCTTTTTTTGTCCTTAAACCATTATTTGTTTTGTTTCATTCACTGCCTTCTTCAATAGCTTTCAATGCTTTCTTAAATGGAGTTTACATGCAAATTATGTGTTCTAAGTTACGTAGAATCCACGTGAACAGAAATCATTTCATCCGGTGCACAAGCATAGCACGGTTGGTTCTTCCTATCTCTCTCTCCCTCTCTCTCCATGTTTCCTTCCCATTCTCTTCCACCCCCACTCCGTTCCATTTCCTGTTACTTTTCTTTTTACCCATTTAAAACATTTTTTTGTGTATGTATGTCTATGTTTCTTTCCCTTCATTATTATAAAATCATTAAACCGTAAAAATCGTTATGATCTTCGAAGTTTCTCCTGAAGCCTATTCTTGGATATTCAATTACTCACAATTGTTCTCCAAATAACAAATTTGTCTTCGTTTACTCAGTGTTTCTTTCTTTTTTTTTCTCTCTCTACTTAATACTCTACTTTGTGAATAAGTATTTTTTAAAAACTACACACTAATGATCATGAAGATATCCTCTTTCTGATTCTCTTTATAAGAGCATCGAAAGAGATAGATAGAGAGAGAGTGTGTATGAGAGATCTCTCCTCATACTTTCATATTCAACATCTAAGAACACTCTTTATATGACGCAAACTTTGCCTCCTACACTTTGATTAATAGACAAAGATTAGAACTTATCTTCTGATCATTATATATAATTCTACTTTAATATATATTCATATAGTGAATGCTTTCAATGATCTCTTCCTTTCCTCTCAAACTAGTGATCATCTATGATCTAACTTCTGCCTTCCTTTCAGATATGCTAAATAGTCCATCAGATGAAACATCGTGTAAGGTATTTGTAGATGAAGTACGTTTCAACTTCTATAATTATTAGATCATAGTCATAAGAGCTTCTCATGAACAAGAAAAATATAACTTTACTCCTCATTCAAGGTCTATGATCCGTCAACAGAAGAACATGTGACAATAGCTTTCTTCATTATCTACAGTTTTCAATTTGTTATGGGATTTATTGGAAATACAGCTGTTCTGTTTTTAACATTACGTAATCAACGTCTTCAGACAGTTCAAGTAATCAGATATATCATTTGACTTCTCAATTACCTTCATCCTCCTTCATAGAACTTATTTATGGTTAATTTGGCTGTCGCAGATCTAGTTGTTTGTCTATTCTCTTTACCTATTACTCCCATTACAAATATTTACAAAAATTGGTATTTTGGAGAGAAGATGTGCTACTCATTGTCTTGGATTCAAGTAAACTCATCTATTTTTTGTTTAAAAGATTTTTAAAATTTTTATTATTTAAGGGCACCAGTGTACTTATCGCTGCTTTCTCTCTCTGCACAATAGCCGTCGATCGCTATTGTATGATTGTCAAACCACATTGGAAGAGACTATCGCGAGAGGTGACAACTTTGACGGAAGAATAGTGCAAGACGTCTTTCTGCAATTACAGAATGCTCGTTATGTTATGCTTTTCTTGTGGTTCTTATCAGCTATCGTTACACTACCATATTCATGGTATATGAAAGTTATTGAATATGAAGGTTTGTGTGGCACATTCTGCACAGAGGAATGGCCTGATGATAAGCTTAGAAGGTTTGAAGCAATATGAACCTCATCATTACATTATTCATGTTCAAGATCGTACACGATATTCGTACTTTGTACGCAATTCTTCGTGCCATTCTCCATTATGTTCTTTTGCTATTATAAAATCTTTGCTCAATTGACAAAACGAACACGAGCGAAGCTTAAGTAAGTTACATTGCAACAACAGCATACATTAGAAAACAACAACAACAAGATGAACGTGATGTGAATGAAACCTACCTATTACAGAAAGCTCAATGATCGTTCATTGATTTTGGCAGCTTCAATGCCAATTATGAGTACAATGATAAAACGAATTCCGAATCAAAGTCAAGAAGTTGAACAGGTGATCATAATAGATATTCCTTCCCACTCACTTACCTCTCTCTCTCTCATTTGAAGTGTCGACGAAAATGTGAATTACTTGCTCAAACTCGTAAAAATACATTGGTATTGGTATCAATGGTTGTTGTATTTGGTGTCAGCTGTTTTCCCCACAATGCTGCTTCCGTCGCTTTAGAATTTACGGATGGAAACATATTTCTGAGTGAAGATGGCCTCAAAGATTATTCATATTTAATAAGCTTAGTTACTCATAGGTAAGTAATAATTAATATCAAATATGATCATTGCTTATCTGATTTCTCTCTCTCTTTCCAGTATATCAATGATGAATTGCGTCGCCAATCCCATTCTCTATGGCTTGCTCAATCCCAGCTTTGTTGAAATATTTCGTAAAACGTGTGCCGACTTCAAAGATTCATTTCATCGTCTAAAACGCATGGAAACAGTCACATCCAATAGTACAATGGTATGAAATAATTGATTTTCGTTGTTTTTTTTCATTTAATTATACGTGTATAGTTAACGGCTTTTATATATATTTATTCAATTTTGTCTTATACATATATACATTTATATTTCAAACAAAAAGCTAAAAATCACTTAACTGTACAGATATTTTTCTTTTCTATTTCACTTTCTTCTAAGAAAAGATGAAAATTGAAACAAAAAAAGAAAAAAAAAAGAAAATAAGAAATGTTCTTTCAATTGATTTGCTGAACGGGTTTTTAATTGTTTTTTTTCTGTGAGAATAAACCATTTTCTATTCATGTTCAAGTTTTGATGGACTTTCACATTCTTTAAAGATTTAAGATTTGAGATTTCCATTCCTCTCTCTCTGTCTCTCTCTTAGTCGAAAAGAAGATTGTTTTTTCCTCAAAAAATAATCTTCTTCTCTCTCTCTCTCACTCTTTATCTCTCTCTCTCTCACACACTTCATATTCTCAATGTTAATATTCTCCTTTTAATTTATGCTAATTCTATTCTGACTTAGTTGGATGAGTCACGTGAAGTTTCACGCAAAAAGTTCCATTTTCTTCCGTGTTTCTAGTGGTGAACGGTTGCTTTCATTTTAAACTTCCAATCAAATTATCTTTAGAATTTCCTATAATCCAATATCACTTTTCATCTTTGAACTTCTTTGTTTTTCATAAAACATTTTAATTTCATTATTTGCAACTTTATATTCATTCAGAGGGAAAAGTGAAAGAGAGAGAGAGAAAGAGAGGCAGCGAGGGATAGAAAGAAAAAATAGAGAATTTGCCCCTTATAATTTGAAATGTCAAAAAAAAAGAATTCAGAGAGTGGGTGGGGTGAAGGGAGGGAGAGGAAAACGAGGTAAATAATGGAGAACAGAGAGAAAATTAGGAGAGAAAGAGAGAAGTAAAGAGCTTGAACAGGTTTGAATTTGCAAAAATAGAAACAACTGAAACCAGTTTTCGTAGAAAAAGCTGCCACTTTGATAACGTTGTTGTTGTAGAAGTTTTAAGCTGTCTCACGACCATTTCCACGTGCGAACATTTCGCTCGAAATTTTCCATTCAATTTTCCTTTTTTGACTTCTTTTTTTCCCACAAAATATGCATTGAGCTCGCCTATAATTAAGATGAAATTATGCATAATTAACGACTACCAAATTGATATTTTTTGAATTTTTGTACTTTGTCAATGTGAATCCGACATTGAAAACATTCAAAACGGCCCCGAAATTCTTCTTTTCGACTGCTCCTTCCATTCAAGAACAACCGGTCAGCGTCGAGCCAAAGTTGAAAATGAAAAACAAAAGTCACGTAAACATACGCACACACAAACACACAGGCATATTTGCCGTCAAATTATTATAATTTGAAGCTAAAAGCAGAGAATCCTCTTTTCGCCTTTTTTCATTTTCTTCTTCCGTCTTCTTCTTCTACTTCTTGTCTTTCCTCAAGTACTTATGTGTTACTTCAATCCGATAACTAATCCAGCTGTTTATGGTAAACAAACACATCGTCCTGTCGTCACATTTTCCTTTTCTTTAACTTTATTGTCAGGAATAGGGTCAGTTTTGAAGTTTTTACTCTCCTCAACTACTTGCATCTCTATGTCCTTCTCCTCAACCATATCATCGTTTACCATCCTTATAAAGGAAACAAAAACAGACTTTAACTTGTTCCTTCTGTCAATTTTATGTTTTTGTCTACCCATTAAGCCATTTTTCACCCAAAATTTCCATAACAGCTATTGTTTTGCCTTCTTCTGACCTAAGCTTTCACATTAAACTTTCTGAAATATTTTTTATTTTTTTCCTTTACCACTGACAATTTTCTATTATTTATATTTAAAATATACACTCTATTACACAAAGGTTAAAGAGTTATAGTTCCTTCACACTTTTCGTAACAAGTAAAGCTTGAAGCTTGAAGCTCTTTTCAGCCTCATTTCACCCCGTTTTTCATTCGCAATCGTCACAATATTTGATTTAACATCAAAAATATGAGAAATGAAGGTTTTTGAAAGATGTTGATCATCGGAAGAATTCTTTCTTTCTCTTCTTACCCAATGTTGCTAGATGAAACCAGGAAACTGTGTGCGGGTGTGGTGTGTGCGTATGCAGTGTGGTGTGGTGTGGGGGTTAGCAGGAATGGCGTCATGCCTTGAACTGAGCTTTCTTTTTATGTGAAAAAAAAAGTAAAAGCTTTAATGACATCATAATTAGCTTTTAATTACATTGCCAACAGAAAAGCTTCTTCTTCGCCTTCTTCTTCTCTACATATTGTTGTATATATAACGCGATTATTTCTCTATTTTCCTTTTCCTAATATGGTTGAACGATTATAGTATTACATTACAATCCAGAAGTGTCATCTGAATCTCCTAAAACTGACCAAAAATCAGTCATTTGTTGCGTTTGCTTTTACTTTTCATGAGTTCAAAACCCATCAGTAGCTCATCTGCCTGCCCTTTTATGGGAAAAATTCTTTAAAAGTCTTCTTATCAACATAAATATGTTGTTCTCCAGCTACTTCTTATCTTATCTTAACCTCTCTGTTCTCCTTAAGCTCTTCCATCACGTTTCGCACTTGTACTGCTCCTCTCCTTTTGCAATCTCTCTCTCTCTCCCTGTCTGCCTCTCTCTCTTTCTTTTTACTTTACTAAATTATTTATACTGCATACTTCACTAACTATATTATATAAATAGCTCGTATTAAAACTTTTTTTTTTAAATAGCCATTTCTTCGTTTTCCCCCCGGCTTTTACAGATTTTTCCACTTCATCGCATTTCTCATCCACTGGAAGGAAAAGGCTTATAAAAAAATATTTTCAACATCTTGTGTGAAACATTTCAACTTTGATCTCCCCTAAAAGGACAACCCAGCTTTTTCCTTCTTTTTTTTTCATAAAAATTATGAATTATTTACAGTTGAGTCTTCTCTCAGACGTTCTTCGTGTTTTTAAGTATTGGCTGTACTTGCTTCGCCTCATTTAATTTCTCGATTTGTCTTTGAATATAGTTCGAATTAACAAAGGTTGGAGCATATGATGTCATTTTGCTTATGAAGTTGCCAGAGAAGCAAAGAGAGAGAGGTGAACGAACACAGAGAGAGAGAACTAGAATGAGAGAAAGAGAGTGATAGAGAATCAAAAATTGCTTTTAATGTGTTTGATTGCGTTCAGTCTAACCATTATGGTTATTAAAACAGTCTCGTCTTAGATATCAAAACATATCAAAAACAGTTTAAAAGACAATATTTTTTATATTTTTTCATTCATTGATGAGAGGTGAGAGGAGATGTATTCATCGATATAGCTATCTAATTATGTGTTTTCAAGAGAAATTATAAAAATTCGTTTGCTTCTCTCACTGACTTCACCCCCACTTCTCTCTTTCCCTCCCTCACCCCTTCTCTTTCTCTCTCCCTCTACTTTCTTTTGTTTATTTCGACAAAAACGAAAGATTTGTCAGCGGCACAACCGTTCCCATCGGCCATTTCATTAGAAATAAACTTTCGTTTGAGCTTTACGTGACAACGTCTCGCTTCATTCAAATTCAGATTACATCGTCTTGTTTGTTATCAGATGATGCGTAGAATGTGAACAAACTTGTCAGCAATTAATCTCATTATACTTTTTGCTTTTCGTCTATTTTTGAAAGACAACCCCATGCACTTTTATGGAAATTATCGAATTTTGAACATTCACAAGCATTTGTTCCTTTCACTCTGCTTCTCCCTCCACGACTTTATTGCCTCTGGGCTAATTAGTAGAAATGCAGGTTTTTGGCCAGTTATTTATGAAGAAAAACATTTTTCTTTTTACCTCCCCTCTTTCCCTTCATTCCTTTCTCTCTTTATCATTCTCTTTCTCTTTTTCTCTCTTTTTCAATGTTCAAAGAAAGAAAAATATGCAAATAGATTCGGTAGTTTGGCAACAAACTTCACTTTGATCTCTGATAATGATCAGGTCATACGCTGATTGAAAGCTTTCTTTTCCTCCTCCAAAAAAGGCCACATGATGAGCTTCGTTATCACTTAGCATATGATTATTATGAGATATGATGAATATTTAATATATATTAAGACGTTTTATGTGAATAAATTATAAAATGATGTAAATTATTCCATTTGGTCTTCCCATAGTGCCGTTGGCCTCATCCATGAGAAATTACAAGAAAAGCCGAGAGAGTCATATAGAAACAGAAAAATGGGGTGCGGAAAGACTAGAATTCCTTACGTGAGCGAATCCCAAATCTCCTGGCCTTCAGATGGCACGAATCATTTTTCTTTCTGTTAATGAGTCATCCATTCCAGTTCTCTATCTCTCTGTCTGATTACATAACATCGTATTGATTCTGATCGTTTGGCTTCCTTTTTTTTATATTTCAAAATCATTTTGTTACATTACATGAGTTAGTATGCTATTCAACGTGTGACTCTAAACGCCAATTAATTAGCATATCACGACGTTCAATGCTAATTAGCATTGCCAACACTACTCTTTACTGTGTGTATGTGTACGTGTGTGTGTGTGTGTGCTCCCAATCATCATATTCACATTCTGTTCGTTCATTCTCTCTCTTTCTTCCTTTGATTTTCAAACTTTTTTTTTTTATTTACCGAAAAGAGAATAAAGGAAAACGATTCATTCAGCCATATTTGTCACATCGTAAACACAAGGTTTTTTACTTTTTTTAAATTTATTTTCCTGAGTTTGAAATCATAAAAGACGTATTTCCTCTGATTTTTGAATCGTTGTTATCATTACAATTTATATGTTTTGGTCGTTGTTTATCATTTACTCGCTAACTTTCATTGTGATTTCCAAGATAATTTTGAAAAAGTGAAATGCTGATGCAGCTTCATCCATCCTCTGATTATGGTTTGTGCCTACACTCTAACTGCTACTGAATTCTCTCTCCCTCTCTCTCTCTCCCTATCTCTATCTCTCCTTCTTCTTTTTGTTTTTTTTAATATTTTTATTTTCAATTTTTTATTCTCATTATTCTCTCTCATCGCTCATTTTATATCTATAATAGGACTTGTCATCTTAATCCGTTTAGAAGAAGTGGGTTGATAGCAGTTGACAAGAACCAGTCGAAAGCTTTCAACAACTGAATCCGCTCTTACATCTGCATAGTAATTTGTGTTTTAATCATTTCAATGTTACAAGGCTACTATATATCTCTTTATCTGCAGATATAACCTTTGTTTGGAGATTGTCTGTTCAGTCAATTTGCTTGTAGACGCTTAGAATGGTTGCTCTAACGTTATCTTCTTCATTTCCGTTTCTCTTAATTCTCATTTTGCTATCTATCTCTCGGTTCAGCTACTCCTTTCGAAGACATTCCTACAACAATCCTATTTCCATCATCATCTTTGTTCTTTGTTTTTCTGATAACTTCCATCGCATAAACTGTAGAAATTCGGCCATTATCGTCTTGAAAGTTCATTGATAACTATCGTTCAACTTCTTTTTCTATTTTATTTTATTTTCTTCTATTCTTTTTTATATTTTATTTTTAGAAATGGACGAATTGAAATCAAGTGTTCGCTTAGTAGCTGGTATTTTTCTCTCAATTTCCTTAATTTCTTCCGTTCTTGCCTGTGCTGTCTGGGAATTTCCAAGCCATGAGCTATCGAAGAATGTTGTTTATCTCGGTGAGTAACGAAGAAGTATACAAGTTTATGGTCAAAACCATGTTTTATCTCATTCTCATCCTCGAAAATATTCAACTCAAAGACTATATTCATTGGGACAAAAAAAAAGAAAAAAAGAATGTCTTTCATGCATAGGTTCATTTCAGTTGGCGTCGGTGGTGGACTGCTTCTGAATATCGTTATATTCATTTGTTTATTCCGTGGAATGGCTAACCAGAATCCCAGCTACTTTTTGCCATACATAGTCTGCTCATTCTTAAATTTAACTATATGGTTTGATAATAATAAAAATGAACAAAATATATAAAAAGAATTATTTCAGTCTGACACTGTCGGTTGTATTCTGTTTGTCATCTATCCGCTCATTTTATTCTGGAATAGCTCCAATGGATGCCGTAGCATTCTTCGTTGTCTTACTTTGCTCAATATTTTGGTATTGGAGCTTAAAAATTGTAAAAATTTATCGTGAATATCTGACCAAGATATCCGGAAAACATACTTTATTTAATAATCCAGAATTTGTGTGAATAAGAGGTTGAAAGGGATAAAGAGAGAGGGAGGGAGAGAGAGAGAGAGAGAGTAAGTATAAAGCTATGAAAGAGATAGTGAGTAAGAAAGTAACAAAAAAAAAAACTTCCGAGTTTTCATCAGAATTCTTCGAATCTTCTTATTGGTCTCAACGTTTCTTCATCTTCTTCATCTTCATCTTCTCCTTCATCTCTCTCTCTCTATCTCTCCTTCTGTCTGTGGGTTGTGAAGGAGAAGAAGAATAAGAAGAAGAAGTAGGAGAAGAAGGAGTTTGTAGTGAAAAAACGATCTTTACTTAAACAAATTAGACAAATTATTTGTTTTAATCTCTCACTTCTAATATATTTCTTTGAAAACATATTATGGGTGTTGAACTGATTGATTGTCGGGTATTATCATTTGTGAAAAATAAAATTTGTAATTTGAAAAAAGAAAAAAAGAAGAAAAAAGTAATAAAAATGAATAATTGTCCTTAATTGTTGTTAATTAAGATATATCTGAACATGATTCCTATTATACAATTTATTGGAACTGTCATGAAAGCTTCATTTCTCTATAGTAGTCCGTCAAGATATTCGAAACATTGTTCAATAGAGGACAAGTGGATCGACGTAGGAAGAGAACAAACAGCAGCCCAAATGACTGGATTTTAACAGTTTCACAATTTGTATAAAAAAAAAAAATTTATAATACGTACAGCTAAGTGCTCAGAGAAGATGAATTATAAAGAAAAAAAGAAAATTATTAGAAAGAACTCTAAACAAGATGAGGAAAAAAATCTTCATTTAAAAAAAATGTCTCATGTGATAAGGTGTGATAAAAGTTTTATTTTGGTTTGGTTTTGGACAGTTCTTTTAAGCATTAGCGAGTTCATCTTGAGCACCAGTAGTTATGACGTGAGCAAAAGCCTTGTAGTCAACTTGTCCGTCAGCAATAGGTGGCTTTCCCTTAATTATTACACTATAAAAGAAAGCAACTCAATCAATAGCCATACCTTGTACATGGCTTTAATTTCATCCTCGTCGAGTGGTTCTCCTCTCTTGTTCTTCAAAATCTTGACGAGTTCGTCCTCAGAGATTTTTCCACAGTCCTTCTTGTCAAACATAGCGAAAGCTCCGACGATGGTGGCTTCTGGGTCAGTTCCTACAAATATCATTGATCAATATTTGATCTTTATCCGGATTCTTACCAGTGAGTCTTTCTCCGAACAAAGTGAGGAAGACGGTGAAGTTGATTGGTCCTGGAGCTTCCTTGATCATATCTTCGATCTGCTTATCAGAAGCGATTTGTCCCATGGAGGCATAAAGATCTTTCAAGTCAGACTAAGAGCACTCGAATGATTATTTCAAATTGATATAAGAGTTACCTTGTCGATGATTCCGTCCTTGTTTTGGTCCATGATTCCAAAAGCTTCCTTGAATTCTTGGATGGTCTTTTGGTCGAATTGAGCAGCCTCAGAGGCAGATCTCTTCTTGGAGGACTTCTTCTTGACGGCCTTGGACTACAAAAATTACAAATGAGAATTCTGAATCTTAGTTAAGTTAACTTACCATGGTTATTCGAACAAGATTTGAGACTGAACCTGAAAAATGGAAAGAATTATAAAAGTAAAAAATAAAGGTGTGTGTGTGTATGTGAGGAAGGAATGCAACGAAATGAAACAACGAATATACTGCTGCCGACTGCTGGAGGAGCTAGTGAAGCTATGACTGTCGAGATTGAGAGTAGTGGTGGGCGGAGGAAAAAGGGATAGAACTGAAAGATAAAGAATTAAAGAATAAATATAAGAGGAACAGGCATAAGATAGAAAGAATAGCGCCATCACACAATAGAGTTGAATGAGATATTTGGGCTCTTAAGTGAGCAGATGCTGAAGCACAGTGTAATATCTTTGGGTTTTCTTGGTGCCAATCCACTCTTCGCCAATCTTCTTTTTCTCGTTTTTCCAATGATATTTCGTTTTTACGCACAAAAGTTTTCTCTCAAACTTTCCTGCCGACAAATCATGCACTTGAAAAACCTTCAAGCAAACGAGAAATACGAAAAGCCTACTCATAGTTGTACAATGGATCAAAAAAAACATTTTTTTAATAATTATTTTTGTTTTATCTGGCGTTAGAAGACTACTTTAGCTGTTTCTCATAATAACATCCAAGGCAGATCTGTTTCGTATTTGAATGGTTATTATCATCTAGATAACATCTCAAGACATTTGGTTGAACACATCGCCTGCCAGGATATCGCTGAGCTTAAGTTTCTGTTGAAGAAAAGCATTTCGGCTTCTTCTTCTTCTCCTTCATTCATTAAGAATTATTATCCGGAAAATAGTTTAAAAAAAACATTCTGTTGTTGAAAATAATGAATTAGTAAGAAAAATAAAAATTCCACAACCGCTCTCACGTCTACGTCATTCACACAATGATTTACGAAAAATGTTTTTTATCTCACGTGAAATTCCACGTGCATGTTTCATGAGGTTCATTAGGAAGGGAATGCTCTTGGGAAACGGGAAAACTACTTCCAGAATAGTGAATGAATTGTTCTTTGTACTAAAATCTCTGATAATGCTCGTCCTGTGTGATAAGAAGCACATGTGCATAGGGAAGAAAAAAAATTTCTTTTTTATTAAAATGTTTTATTACATTTACAACTTTTGAAAGATAAATATTTATAAGACTTTGCTCATAGCCATTTTTGCTTTCATATCTTGAATTAAGGCAAGCATGGGTTGTTGGCATTTGAGTTTTCCATCAGCCACGCACTCGGGATACAAGGCGTTCACACCTGAAAGCAAAACGGTAAATGCAAACAATTCGATTATAGAACAAATTTCTTGGAGAAAATTAAAAATGGTTAGATCAAATGAAAATAGATGCTTCTCCTCAATTTCTTTCAGTTTTTTACCTTGAACTACATTGTTACACATAAATACACCAGCATTATGTCCACAACAGTTACTGAATACGTTTGCTTGACAATCTGCATTTATCTGGGCTGCTCTGGAAATTAATTTTGTTAGTTTCTTCTTCTTATTTTTGTTTTCTTCTTTCTCTCTCTCTCTGTCTCTTTCGTACTCTCTCAAATTCTCAATCTCTCACTCTTTATTAAGAGAAAAAATGTGTTTTTACTTGCACAATCCGTGAAGAATAACATTAGTTTTCATGCTGGCATCACATTTATCCAAAAGATTCTGATGACTGGAACGACAACTCTCCAAGCAATAGAAGTTTTGCATCAGAACTGAAATAAACCGCTTTTATGAGTCTTATAGGGCTTATGCTCACTATTGTATCCAGCTCCACATTGGTATTGAGTAACGGCCAAGTCGATTTGATAATCGTTAGCTTCTGTGCCATTGTATGCTCCAAGTTGGGTATAGGTATGAGAAGTCATACATGGACGAGTACCAGCAACACATTGGACCAAGTTGTTTCCTAGCCTTTAGAGAAAACATTTTAAATTAGAAAGATAGGTTGTGGCAAATTTTTCGTACTGGCAAACAGCTGGCTGAGCGATGTTGACCCCATCTTTCAATAACCAATTCATTCGTGGGTCGTGAAGATAAACCCAATATTCAGGCAGATCTTGATCAAAAGTCGTATTGAATGCGGCCAAATAAGTTTGGTAACATTTCTTGATGGTAGCCAACTGAGATGTATTACAGTCAGTAGTAGCAGCAGCAGCAACAATAAGAACTTAAAAGCTTAATAATAGGAAGAAGTATTGTATGTTGAAGTCTTACCGAGAACTCCAAATACTGAGCGCATGGTTGAACGAGTAGTATATGATAAGAAATCATTCCATTCTTTGCCCTTATATAGTTTCAGAGCCAAACGTCAGTTTCAAAGTTTATTTTAATTATCATCTTTTCGTTCTTTACAAACTACGAAATTCATTGATAAAAAAATTAAATGATGCTAACAGAGCGAACTGCTAAGATAAACCGATTGGAATACTTTGTATCCATTATAAATATTTATTTTAATTCATTGAAACATTCAAATACTTATTAGGAAACGAACAATAGAACTACATACCCGTCATCAGAGAGAGAGAGAGAGAGAGAGAGAGAGAGAGAAGAGCCAAAGATATTGAGAGAGATGAAAAAGAGAGAAGAAAAAAGAGAGAAGGAAGCAAATAATAAAAAAGAGAAGGAGGGGGAGTATTTCCAAGGAATCAAACAGTTGGAATTTTGTGTAAAAAAATTTACAAAAAACATAGTCGAACTATAAGGAAATTGAGTAAATTCTTTGATTTTCAAAATCTGAGTTGATGGGTCTTATGAGTTAGAAATGAAAGAAAATTTGTGTCTAGGCGACTGTCTCAATTTTTTGCTTATCAGGCTTTGTCACATATTCTGGATATGTCTTTTGAGATTTGGCCCACCATTGAACTTCAGCTGAACCCCAAAGATTGAACACAATCAATGGCAGCAGAGCAATTATTGTAGAAATATAGAAAACAGTATTCCATTCTAAGGCTGTTCCATTCTGAAATAGGAGGAAATGATCCATTTTTCTTTTCTTCTATTATATCTCACCTGAACAATCCATTTGGTGATTAATGGATTGACGATTCCGGAACATGCAACAAAGAAGAAAGCGAATCCGGTTATAGCTCCAGAATAGGCTGGAGCAAGAGAAACTAAAGCTGTTTGACAGCCAGGAGTGTGAAGCCCTGAAATTCAAATGATTAGTGTTTTTTAACGAAATCCTCGATTCCAACCTGCGGATGCCATACTTAAGCACAGGAACAGGACTGCGAGTGGAGCTCTGCTAGAATCAAGCAGAGTAGATGTGAAAAGGAAAGCACCTAATCCGAACGAAGCCAAGGAATTTAAAACCTTAAGTGATAGTTATGAAAGGGTATGAGTGGGAATCAATCTAACCTTGCAAATTGTGTTTCTCTTCCATTTTGTGTGGCGTTGAAGCCAAGTGTTAGCATAGCTACTGGCTAATTTGGACAACCACAATGAAGCTGTAGGCAAAGCGGATAAGATACCGTTCTGTGTGGAGGTGTAATGGTGAACATCGTGGAGATAACTGAAAAAATGGTTACATTAATCAAATGAGATGATTTTCTGTTTCTTACCTGGGTAAGAACATAATCATGGTCATCAGTGGGAATTCGTGGCAAACGACAGCCAACACGGAAGCCCATACAGGTCCAGATGTTATGATTCGGAGCCAGGGAACCTGAAGAATATATTTCAGAAACAATTCTGCGTGATTTACTACTCACTCGTCTTTCATTTCTTTTCTTTCCAACGTCTTCATTTGAGTTAGCCATAGTGATGAATTTCAATTCCGCATCAGCAATGCAACTCTGTTTCGACGGCTTGTCAGCACCTGAAATGCTTCATTCAGTATTTCCATGTTTTCTATTAAAGTTTACCAATTACTGAATACAAGACGATGAAGAAAGCTCCAACAATAGCTGAGAGATAGAAGATGGAAGGCCATCCTCCAAATAACACTGTTTGTGAGCATAAGGCTCCAGCAGTTGGGATAATGATTAATGTTCCTAGAAGATATCAAATTCACATATTTATGTCACTTCGAAGCATACCGAGTTGACGGCCACCAGTGGCTAAGCCTAAGGCATAACTTCTCTCTGATGTTGGGAACCATCTAGTTATTAAGGAGTTAACTGCCGGTTGAAGCAAAGCGTCAGCTATTCCTACTAAGAAACGGCCACCAATAGCGAAGTAGACACTTAGAGAATAGTTAGAATAGGAGAAGCTGAGTGAAATTAAAACCTGGTAGGAGAAAGAAGTGGAATGAAAACATTTGCGAGCGAAGCAATAGTCACACTCGCCACAATCATGTATTTGGCATTGAATTTATCCGCCAAAAATCCAGTCAATAACATAAAAAGAAGGCCGAGATTGAAAGCTGAGAAGATATATCCCTGCAAGGAAAAATCTGAGGTAATTTTGAATATTGAAGCTTCAAAACCTGTTGATCAGCTGTCCAGTTGAGTCTTGGGGCTCCAACACTAACGGTTTCATTATCCATGTACTCAGATGAGTTAACCATACAAACGATGGCCATACCCATGTTACTATTCATCATATGAACACTAAAAACTAACTGTCTTAAAAGGTTCTAATGATGTATTCTACCTAGCGAAACATAAACATAATAAACTGGCTGTTAATAATCTCCAACTTGGAAACCATCTATAAACTATTGGTCGCGTTACAGGTGGAAGCCCGTCGGAAATGGGATGAACTACGGACATCCGTAGCAAATGATCTGAAAAAAATACATAAATTCAAGGATTCTAAGAAATATTCACGGGGGAAATTTGAAGCTACACGTGGTAGGAGAAACCGCCTCAGGTATATATATGAGCTCATAAGCTTCTCTGTTGACTGAGAAAACTAATGGAAGACCAGTCTCATGGTGTAGTCGTTATGTGGCAGTCAGTCGCGCATAGATTGCCTTAGGCCAAGATCGTACGGCGATTAGAAACTAGGCACTATGCAGAGGGAAAAGAGAAAAAAAGATATGAGAGATAGAGCTGAGTGATTGCAAGCGACTAGCCAGCCTTTGCTTTTCCAACATCTTTCGAGCAATATTTTCAAATTTGCAGTAGTTCAGTGAGAAATTAAAAAACCTGAACCTATTTCACTCAAATGATTGAAAGCCACAGAAAACATTACGGAAAAGCTGGGAATATGCTCCCTGTTTTATGTATGATTGGAGTAACGTGTATGGTATACGCGTAATTCTAACTTATTATTGATCACCTCATTTCACCTTTATTGTACTATCGAGTAGAACAAAAAAATAATCATCCGAGACCAGATTTGAAACTTGCTTGTAACATGGAAAGAACAAGAGGCTTCAAATTCTTCATCCAGAAAGACTCAAGTGTTCGATTTGACGTCAAGCAAAGAGCTTACACGTTTTCTATTTATTTGTTTGATTAGTTGGACGTGTGGACTACTTTCTACATTAAAACTGGCCAGATAGTTGAAATGATTATCTCATTCAAGGTGTTTCTTCACAACTCATCTATGACGACAGCGAAAACGAGAGGAAGAACCATTATAATCCAATCGGGGAAGCAATTCAGATCCAGATGAAAGTGTTGATTGTTATTTGCACTTTTTTGATTCGAATGGCGGCTCTAGTTGACCATCAATCATCAAGTTTCAAACATTTTCAGGTTTTCAATAATCCCAGTTACCCAATGGATTGATAGCGTCGATCATTTTCAGTGTTCTGAGCGAGGAAAGCGTTCAATAACTTACTTCGATGACTTCCAAGCTGAACAAACCAAAATGATTCGAAAACCTGACCGAAACTGAATCGTTTTGAAACAACATTTGGTTACGTTAAATGACGTGACTTGCGTGAGCATAATGACGAATTAGAGCTTCACAGCATGTACAGTCACGTCATCTGTACTTGCCGTAGGCGAGAAAGTCTAATAGAAACAAGCGCATTTGAAATGTACATAGAATTATGAAGCATACAGAAGTACAGATATATAAGAAACTTCAAAAAGTAACACGCTCTCTTATATTTCTTTTTTTCCTGATTTTTTTTAAATGCAACCGCTCACTAGCTCTATTCATACTGAACTGACGTGAGTTTACTTGTTACAATTGTATTCTCATAGTCTTACGTGTGTTACGTGTAACATGTGGAATTAGCATAACTTGACGTACCTAACTTCTGGAAAACACCATCAGCATCCTTATATTGGGATAATTTAGTAATTATACCCATTTCGAGAATACAATAGAATTTTCCTCGTTTTCAAATACGATAGGAAATGAATTCGTCAACTATTGTTGGCTTCAAAAATCTTCGTGAAGTTCGTTATTGAGCTTATATAGGAGGTCGATGAGCTTCAGCTTTCGAGAAGCGATTAACTAATTTACGTGAGAAAAAGAGAAATAATCATCAGAATCTTCACGGATGGATGGAAACAAACGAACGTAATGATATTTACCAAACATAGACAAATACTATGTTATATGTAGTTGTTATAGTAATTACTTAAAGCTTATTGCCTTGTTTGAACATCTTACGCTTCAACTTTTTAATTTTTAAAATCCTTCCTGTCAACTAAAACTAAATGTTACAAACTACTTTCACGTTTCCCTCAACTGTTTTGCAGAAGAAAAGAAAAAGATATAAAAAAAGCTTTTTTAACCTTTTTTTTTGAAATCTTTTCTGAGTATTTTTAAACAAAAGCTCCAGTAACTCGTACTCACTTAAACTTGTATCCACTTGGACGGACCGTTTAGATCAACAGAAAGAACACCAATGGAAAGCTTCTTTCCGAGGTTTGATAAGATCACCTTTTATCTCTCAAATATAACCTCTCTTAGTCTTATATGATCTCTAACTTGGTTATCTGTGAACATACTTCTTAGAATTCTTATACAATCTCTCCTGAATTCCTCTCAACTTTTTTTTGAATTTTTCTCTCTTTCTCTCTCTCTTTATCTCTCTATCACTCTCTCTCTCTTCCTCTCTCTCTCTCTATTACTCTACTTGTAATGGAGTGGAGGATTATTTTACTTTTGTAACTATCCATTTCTACACGTTTTCCATTATTTACCAAACAGATGACAAAAAATGTCAGAATACTTCTGAAAGTTACGCAAAAAAGACGATTTCTCGTTATGACGGCGCCGAGCTGACTGTCATCACCTCAACCTCCTTCCTTCTTCCGAGTCTTACCAAGGCTTCATCGACTTCCACTCTCTTCAGTCTCAAACTCCCTTCACTTTTTCTCTTTAAAATACCTTTTTTTCTCTCTCACACACTCTTTTATTTTTCTAAGAAGACCAAGCAAATCGACATAAAAATTTTGCGATGTCAGGAGCATTACAACTTGAGCTAAACATAGTTGCGCTTTGGATGAAATCAAATATTTGGCAGATACATATCCATTCTGTTCAAAATTCGTCATACATCCTTAAAAGCTCATCCATTTTTTCATATTTTTCGTGATTATTGAAAAAGTCAGTGATGGAATGTTCTCTTATCGTTTTTGAACTGAAAAAAACATTTTTCAGTCAATCACTTGTTAGTTGACTCAAAAACAAATTTTCTTCCCTCGTTCATCTTCAATTTCTATTTAAATATTCCTAAATAGACCCCTCTTTGACCTTTTCCATAAGAAGCGCCTGACTGTCTAATCAGTCAAGAGCAGAACAAACGAAAATTTAGGTGTAGCAAGAAGAAGTAGTCCGATGATCTATCGATCAGCCTCTGATTTTCAAAAGCAGAAGTCCAAGTGGTGAGAATATAAAAGAATCGAGAGAGAGAGAGAGAAAGAGTGAAAGAAAGAGTAAATTTTTTCGTTAAGGAAAAGATGAGAAGACTTTTATCGCAAACTTTTATGAAGTGAAGGATCATAGCAATGCGAGAGATCGGAACAGAAACCGTATCATTTCGCAGAGAAGAGCTCATTTTTTGACCATTGTTATGAGTCATCATCTCGTTGAGCTTCTCCCAAATACTTCCCCTCCCATCTTTTACTTTCCTTTTTTTCGTCAAATTAATAGAATGTAAAGAAGAAGATTGTCTAAAGACTCTCTTCAGTGAATTTTTAAACAAAACGGCTTAAATGACTCAGAAAGCTTTGAGTTTTGAAATTTGGATGAATCACTTCCTACTTCAACACGAAAGCAGGGTCAATCTGAGAAAGCTCAAGTTTCAACCCCGAATTGCCTAAATGTTGCGGCATTGAACAGTCTTTTCTTTCTAACCTCGACCTTCTTTCGAAATATTCATTGGACTTCCAAAAAAGTAAATATGATGAGAAGAAGCTTGTTTGATTCTCTATTTCATCATCTCCGTTCAGTTTTCGGAGCAAAAGATTGAATGATTTTATGAGAATTCAGAGAAATGACCAGACGAGGAAACAGGTGGGGTCATCTAATCTATGGTAACAGACAGAAGCCTTCGACATCACCGGTTCATCCTCTTTTTCTCCAAATGGAGACATCGGAATTCCGGACCGGTTTCCGGCCTTGCGCATTCTGTTTTACAGCAGGAAGAGCATATATGAATTTTCTACATCATTTTTTTCTTAACAGTCATATATTTGGCGCACTTTTGGAATCGCAACCCAATCATAGTATCGAAACTAGAGGTTTCAAAAGTCTTTCTTAAGCTTGCTTTCTTTCAACAACGAACGACTGTTGTAGCAATGAAGCTAATTCAAAAAACGGTTATATCTTTCAATGGGAGCACTAAAGCACTAAAAACGACATCACAATGTAAGAGCAAAACTAAAAAATAAAATATGACTGTCGTTTGAGAATAAGATCGTTGGTTCTCTTCAGATTCCAGATTATTGTGATGTCCGGTCATCTGGACGTCGTTTTGACAGCTTCAGGCCAAAAGCTGGAAAATGACAGAAGAGAAATGAAATTTTCAACCTTTCCACTTTTGGCTTTTGGTGGAAACGGCTCATATGTGTGTGTATGTGTATATCCATGATTTTGAGGGAAATATTTAATATTTAAAAGTTGGAAAAAATATTTTTATTTCCATAAATCGGATGAAGATGTGTAAGCAATATCAGGTCTGGGATGTAGACAACAAACTCAAATACAAACAAAGCCCTCTGAAGTTTTGAAGTCTTAACAGAAAAGTGGAAAAGCTTCACAAGTTGTATAGATAACTTCAAGTTTTTCAATGATAAGCTTAAGAAGTGTCCAGTATTTCAACTGTTGTTGTCCTCAATCCACTTGACGTCATCAAGAATGATTCAAGTAAACGAGACAGAAAGAATCTGTTGATGGCAAATCATCACACAATTCCAGATGACGTTGCACATCGAATGATTGAGAAGTTAAGATGCTCTGAATGATAAGCAGGAAGAAGATGAATTTTTTTTTTTGAAAACAGGAATTGATAGGGCCTGCTAGACTGTTTGGCATTTACTCTAACAAAACAAAACAAATCCACAGGCACACGACATTCCACAACAATTATATTGATATTTGTTCGTTTTTCTTTTTCGCTCTATCTGATTCTCATTGTTGTCCTTTATGCTTCTTTTACCCAAAAATGGAAAATCTGAATGAAAAAGAGATTGTGTTTGTCGTGCATTTGCTCTTAAGTTTTCTGTTTTACCAAGTTTTTTTTCGAAATCTTCCTGTCTGCTCAAGCAGTTATCACAAATGATCTCTGCTCTTACCCAAACTTTTATAGTTTTATAATTGAGTTGGACAACGAAAAAATGGGAAAAGAGAAAGATTTTGTGTAAATTTTCTTTTTTTTCCAAAAAGACGGCCAAAAGGAAAGAAAAAAAAGAAATTTGAAAGGTGATCAAGCGTTTGATTGTGTATGTTAATGGAGCATCATACTGTAAACTTTCCATTTTATGGAGAGACGTACTGACAGCTTGACCAGCTTGGCAAACCGGACGTGGTTATAAGCTGTTGAGGACACATGCATGGCCAGAAGCGTATCATCTTCCGGAGAAGAATTTCCTCAACATAGACCGGTTGAGATAGCCAAAGAGCATGATTTAAGCTCTTCATGCCTAAGGGCATCATACAATCTTTCACGCTATTAAAAATTCTGTTTGGTTGCTTCATATCAACACCAGTTGACAAGCTTATGCAAGAAGAAGACGTATGGTTGTAGACTTTTCGCCGTCAGGCGCCGAGCCGTCTGGCGATCTGTTTATGTGGTAGTTCCAGAATTAGGAATAAACAGTCGTTATCACACAAGTAGTTTTGAAGAAAGAATTAGGAGACAAGGAAATATTGAAATTGAGGAAGGAGGAAATAGAAAAATGTTTGAGAGAGAGAGGGATGAAGGACTAGGATGAACTGAGAGTGTGCGAGCTTGAGAGAGACTTGCAGAAATCCAACAAAATGAACGAAAGGGCAGAAAGATAAATTCAAACGGACCAATAAAAATGAAATTGAAATGTACTGACCTGTATCTCGATCCAACATTTTGTTAACTATTAACAGAATATGTGTTTTAAGGGGAAGAAGCTGATTAGTTTCTGACAAACTCTAGATGCGTTTGTGGAAGCTTTGTCGACGAGCGGAGAATACGAAAAAGTAGAAGAGGGAAGCAAGAAGCCGGAATATCCTTATAAGGATGTGTGTGGCTCAAAAGATGACGAAAGAAGGATTTTGTTCTTCTTTTTCTTCTTGTCTGCCGATCGGACCAGATGGAGTTGAGCTGTTGAGAAGTTGTTGCTGCTATGTCGCCGTCCTTGTCGTTCTTGTCCCGCCCCATCCGACCCCTGACCTGTGTCTCGTCGTCTACCTGTATGATTGTCTCCAAACAAGACTTTATCTTTCCCGTTTCGTCTGACTTCCAACCTCTTGCCTTCTTCAATTTTTTCAAATTTATAGTGGCTACGTTCTCTCTTTTCCTCTTGTAATCATCCGTTACTCGCTAGACAATCTGTCTTCTCCGAGGTTATGCTTTCGTAGTGCAAATCGCTTCATCTACTCCTTGATTTTTTTTGTATTTTATCTTTTCCTTCTTCTTATTCTTCTTTATCTTTCTAGAGTGAGGCTCACGTTTCTCTGTCTGTGCCGTTCCCATCTTACGTCAATATTCTTACGACGTCACAACATTCATAACGTCTTCAAGTCTTCTGCGTCATTAGTTCACATAAACCATGTTTTTGTTTTCTTTTTAATCTTTTGATCATTATGTAAATAGTGGCTTGAAACCATCTTCTTGATTTCATGATCTTAACTTTGCTCATTTATTATCTTCTTGAACACAGTTCAACCCTACCAACTTCTTAATATCTTTCTTCCTATCCCGCAGCAGCTGCTCTTGGCTCGAACCCGGCTCACACTTCTTTTAACCCCATTAACTTTATCCGCATCCAGCATCATCCTCTACCAAGACAATGCTGCTGGATGGCTGGGCGGCGACGGCGCGGACGACAACGACGGCGCCGGCGTCCGTATTTGCGCGCCCAGCAGGTGAAGCTGCTCGAGCTTCACCCGAACCGGTCCATCCGGCCTCATATAAACGGCCAGCACAGCCACAGCATCAGTCTCTATTTCTCTTTCTGAAGCGAGCATTGTTCGTCGGTTTGTCTGCCGGTCGAAGTGACAGTCTTTTCCGTTCCGTTGAAAGATGGCTTCATTATATGAAATTTGAACCGTTTTTGTACCTCAAGAGTATGGAGTTCAACCAAAACTCAGACTTTTTGCTCTTTTTTTCTTTGTTTTTCCTTGTCCTCGAGATAGAACAGTTACTAAGAACTTCTTGGATACTTGTTATGCCATTTGTCTCTGATTCTCAAATACTTTATTGAAGGATAACAATATGTGTGGAATTTGGGCTTCACTTGGCTTAACCAACGCCCCTTCCGAATTTCTTCAGCAACAGTTTATGAAAATTGTTGGTCGCGGACCAGATTATACAGCTTTAGAGGAAGTTCAGCCTAACGTTTTTCTTGGCTTCCACCGTCTAGCTATTGTTCTCGTGAGTTTTTTCATTCGTTTTCTTTTGCTCTGTTAAAATGAGAACGGAAGTATGAAAATGAAATTACAGCCAGGTGATACTCCTAGTCATCAACCTATTATTGGGCATGGTTTGGCAGTTGTTTGCAACGGAGAAATTTACAACCATAAAGAGTTGAAGGTATAAGATTCATGGTCTTTTCAAAACACAACTGTTATCTTTGAAGAAGGGATCCAACCTGGAACTCTCAAACAATGGAAGTGACTGCGCCGCCATCATTCACTCCTTCATCAGTAACAGTATGACCACCAGTTGATGCACAGCATTACATCGGCATTACTTACAGACTATGACTTGAAAGCTACTTGTGCTTCTTTGGATGGCGTTTTTGCTTTCATAATGGCTGACGAGAAGAACGTTTACGTTGGACGTGATCCAATTGGAGTTCGTCCCCTTTTCTATGGAACTGATCGTAACGGTATGATGTCATATTCTTCTATTTTTGGAGAGAAACAGATAATTCCTTAAACGGAAAGAAAGAAATGAGAAAAATCAGTCAAGAGGGGGGAAGGAAGAGAACTATCTCTCGTATTCTGAAGCACATTTGCTCTTTCTTTTGCTTGTTCTTGCTTCATCTCCTCATCTTAGCTTTTTACATCAGCTTTCATCTTTCGTTTGGGGTGTTTTGGAGATTCTCGGAAATCTGATAAATGGCCGAAAAACAGTCTACAGCTTACTCACGCTCAGCTTTCTTCTTAATCGTCAAATTATCATCTATTCCGTTATGTAAACATTCGATACAACTCCATCGAAATCCAGACAAAACCACTAAACATTTTTTTTGAATTAAAAAACTTCCATTTGCTCACCCACCATGGATTTCGGAACTTGCCTCTTGCTCCTCATCTGGTTGTCCTCATTCGAGATTGTGTTTTCTTCGGCGATCTAGCTTTTTCAAGTCTCCAACTTGTTTTGCCGCCCAAGGCCACGGTAAACACGCCGAATGTGCTAACACGTAAGCCGCTTAGGCTTAACAGTCAAATCTGATTACTGAGGTGTTTGAAAAACACAAAAAAATAATAGAATAAGAAAGAGGGAGAAGGTGGAGAGATGAAATGAAGAACTCTCTTCTTCTAATTACCGGTCATTTAGGTGTTCTCTTCATTGGGTCTGAAGTCAAATGTATCGAGAAGCTCTGTGATAAAGTTGAATATTTCCCTCCTGGATGTTGTGCCACAATCCCTTTGAACTTCAAGGGAAAGTAAGGAGATCACTCTTCCGGCTGAAAATAATCTCTCTTTGTATAGGACCATTCCCGTTCAACAATACTTCGTAGTTCCAACTATTGCCGACCGTTGTCTTTCTATGGATATGACCCAGGTACAGCTTCGAAAAATTATCGTGATATCATTGTATACTCTTTGAGGAACTAGTTCGTAAAGTTCTGATTGGATCTGTTGAAAAACGCCTTATGGGTAACCGCAAGTTCGGATTCATGTTATCTGGAGGATTGGACTCCTCTCTAATCGCGTCCATTGCAACTCGATTTTTGAGTGCGGTACGTTGAAAATCAATAGTAAATGGTTTATACGTCATGAAAAAATTCAGAAGCCAGTTGCTTTTTCTGTTGGATTCGAAGACTCTCCAGATTTGGAGAACGCTCGTCGTGTGGCTGAATTCTTAAATATTGAACATCGTGTTCTTGTAATTACTCCTCAGCAATGCCTTGATATCATTCCAGGTTGTAATTCAGAATAACCAACAACTTATTAGATAGTTTCAGAAGTAGTTTATGCTTTGGAAACATTCGATCCTTTAATTATCCGTTGTGGAGTTGCTCATTATCTCCTGTGTAAACACATCGCCGAGATATCTGATGTTAAAGTTCTTTTATCAGGTTTGTCTTTTTCGGATTCGTACCCTTTACGATAGTTTTCAAAAATGATCTATTTTGAGGATTTTAAGTTAGCTTTCTCTCTTGACAATCATCTTATCCCTTGATGTGCGCCAGGCAGTGGATTGTTAAAAAAAATTTCTTTTTGCCCTTCTTCTTTTCGGCTCCTCCCCCTTTTCTTCTTACGTCAGACTTTTCGAGTAAACAGAAGGAAAAAATTTCTGTAATTTTGATACTTCACTACAACTGATTGTTCTCGTTGTTGGAAGGTGAACTGTTTGACCCGACCAAAATTAAAAGAAAACATCCGCACAAAAAAAAGTAAAACAGAATGTGAGCTTAAAGCGTAGCACTTGTTAGTATGCAATGCAACAGGTTTCGTCATTAACACTCTTACAGGCGAAGGAGCCGATGAATTGTTTGGATCATATGCTTATATGCAAAAAGCTCCAAATGCTTTCCATTTACATAAGGAAATGCTCCGTCGATTAAAACATCTTCACCAATATGATGTTTTGCGTTGCGATCGTGCAACCTCTTGCCATGGATTAGAAATCCGTGTTCCCTTCTTGGACAAAAAGTGAGCTTTTCAATTTTATGTTTCTGTTCAAGACAGTTTGTGTAGGTTCATTGATTTGGTTACTCGCCTTCCACCTACTTATAAACTCATGCCTATGAAGCTTGAAAAACACGTCTTACGTAGTGCTTTCACAAAATGGCTCCCAGAAGAAGTTTTATGGAGAAGCAAAGAAGGATTTGCCGAGGCTTTGGGTAAGTTGCTTTATCTTTACACTTGTAGTGATACCATCGAACAATTCCTCATTTTCAGGAAAAACCGATCTTGGAGATATCGTTCACAACTATGCTTCTTCCATCATCAGTGATGAGCAGTACAGCACTAGAGCTGAACGCTTTCCTGATAGAACCCCAGAATCCAAAGAGGAGTTCTGGTATCGCGAGATCTATGAGAACACTTATGATTATGGAAAAACAGCTCATATGGTTCACACTAAAGTTTACAGGTAGAGTTTTCGAGATCTCATAGTCTGGATAAACCGGCTTTCTTCAGATCTGCTGCTTGGCATCGTGTAGAAGAGAAAGAAAACTTTAAGGATTCTCTCGATGTTAAAGAAGACATTCCTGATCTTGTGAGAATGAGACGTCGATCCACCGGATCAGCTATGATGTCCGGTGTTGCTTAAAAACGTTTTTGATTATTATTTGAGCACCCGAAAAGTCTTTCCTTTTTTATCTTCTTTCTTCTAAAAGTATTATGAACATAACAGACATTCTGCTTTCCGTGCGCACAACGAACATATAGTCCTGGCGAAAATGGATGGGACTCGTCTCAAATATAATCTTCAAGACTGTAGTTCAATTGTGCTAAAGGTCATAAGTGTTGTATTCAGTCTTATTGACGTTGATACTCATCGATTCTGTTATACGAATAACTTTATGTATGAGACACTGTCATTCGTACCAAACATTTTTTTTCTCTTCTTCCTCTTCTGGATTCCTTTAGTTAATTATGACGCCTTCCATTTTCATCTGGTTCCACTCATTGAAAAATTCCGGTGTCACCTAGAAAACTCGCTAGCAAAACTTGAGAAGCAAAACATCTAATCCTTAATTTTTTATATTTTATTCGGTAATATTTCTATCTTATTTTAACTTTTAAATATTGTTTGTACATATTTCGATAATAAACTGAATTACATTTGAAAAAATTGTTTTAAAATTGAGTGAGAAAAGAGGGTTTTCTTCACAAATTAAAAAAGTTATCTAGCCTACTAGCACTTTTCAAACAAAATTGATATTTCATGAGTCACGATTTCTTCCTTATCAGTGGGAAGAGATGCTGAGTGCAAACTCCAAGCAATTTTTAGAATAGAGATTTGCAATTTAGATCGCTTAAAATCGTTCGATAGTTAGAAAAAATGGAATACTGCTGCTCATTGAGTACAGCTAGTATATATTATATATTTATATTATATTCACAAACAAAAGAATTTGAAAGAATTTATATTGTATCACGTATATGTTATGAAGCTTCACTTATTGAAATCTCATATCTCAGTAAATAAGGTTACTTGTGATTGCTCATAACTGCCTTCTCAGAGTCTTCTTAACTTGATGTCCAAGTGTAGCTGTCAACTTGGTTGTTGAGACTATCAATAAGAACTCTCGAACAATCTTCGTCAATTTCCCGCATCATGTGTGTCAAATCCGAGTCTCTGGATACATTATTCAACTAAGAATTAATAGAAAACTTCTAATTTACCGATCAGAAAGTGCGCAAGTCTGGCAATCAGCCATGTTCTGAATACTGTGGGTAGAGAGCATGTCGATATGGTCTTGGGCTTCCTGCATATTTTCTTCCAAATAAGTGAACGATGGTGATGATGACATGGTGATTATCTATAGAGAAAGTATTCTCCAACAAACTAGAAGAGAAGAAGTAGAAGATTTGTTGTGCTTGTAACACAATATAACTCCTTTTATATACTTACATATGTATGTACATTCGTCTTCATCTCCACTTCTTTATCATATAAGTGATCGATCATGCCGGGAAGGCGCAAAATATAAGACACGATCACAGTTTCAATGATTTTTTCAATTGTTATATGATGTTTCATTTTGAGATTTCAGAAAATGAACCGAAACAGCAAAACTATGGACAAATGGCGTGAATCGCAAGCAGAAAGGGTCCCTGCAATCCTGTTTGAAGAATTGAAACGTGGATAGGGAACAACAACAATGCAGAAGGAATAGTATGAGCCTGAGGTGATTGGATGATTCTGGCTCATATTTACATTTGTTAGAATTCCAGATTTTCAAGGTTATTTTTTGATATTGTCTTGCTGTCAAAGAAGAAAAAGAGGTTTTTCGTATATTATCCGACATGACATTTGACATTTGACAGATAGAAGACTCAGTGTTGAGCTCAGCTGAGACAGTGTTGAGTCCGATTCAGATCGCACATCAGAACGTTTCAGTTGACCATAGTCTCTGGTCGTCATTATATTTCATCTACGATATTATTTTATATTCTTTAATATATCTTGTTGCTTACGTATATATATTTTGAAAACTAGAGAGATTAGGATCTCATTAAGTCACTTTCAGGACTCATAGAATGAAGCAATTATATTTCAAAATTCAAATTCTAATTGTCTCTCTAGTTACTGTTTCTTCTGATCAAAAGTTTTTCATGAAACTTTTTGCTGATGCTGGCATAGGAATTAGTTGTCCATCCGGTACTTTTACATGTCATGATTATGAGTTTGATCCTTCTTTTATAAGGAAACCGTGTTTACGTCCATCCGATTAGCGGAGACTTGCAACAATGTAGTCAGCAGTTAGGTGTTTACAATGATAAAAGCTGTCCAGGAGGAACAGTATGTGAGCGATTCCCTGTCCCTATCCCAGGATTTCAAGTATCTAGTCGGGAAAAATTTGAAATCAAGTTACTGTTAAGGACTTCTGTTGTTGGGAGGATGATCAGAAGAATAGCGAAGAAGTCATCATAGGAACTACAAGTGCGTCTTCAACCAATATAACTGATCTCCAATCTTTCCAGCCAGCGTCCCAGAAGAGTTTTTCCCATACACGGAAAAGCCAAAAAGAAAAATTCGGCCCATTGTTGAGGCAATTCTAGAGAAACCCGACGAAGAAGATGACGAAGGTGAGAGCTTGATTTCATTCATGTTCTACGAAAAACTGATTGGTTGAAGTAGATATTAGTATAGAACCATGTAGAGTGTAGATAATTTAGAAATTCCTCCCATCCCTAAAGAAGCCATCGTCAACATAATTCCTGAAGAAGAATCAAGTTCCAAAGATGGTGATTGCTTCATCTCTCTTCTGATACTTAACACTTTCTCTTGCATGCAGAAAACTTTTTAAAACTTTTTGATTTGTAGAAGAATGGGAATTTGAGACAACTCGGCGCACACCGCGACCTCGAAGTCGGAAAGTAACAACAACCACAACTACAACGACAGAAGAACCATATACAACAACCAGGAGGTTGTACTAATATATCTCATTAGCGTATGATGAGATTTGACTGTTCAGATCTACTGGATCTAAGAATCGGCTGCTGCGATGTAGCAATCCTGATGATTCTCCTTTCATAGATTTTGGAAACAGACTGAGGGATTGTTTCCCAGGATACTATCAAGTACCCTTTAATCCCATCCTAAATTTCTCACCTCTAACTTCCAGAACACTGGATGCTTCCGTGGCTACAGATGTGAGTTCAATAAAGAAATAAGGAGATATATATGCTGTGGACAAGGAAGAGATATCGTCCCTCCAGGTAACAATTGTGAAATTAGCTTTAGTGCAGACTAAGCAAACTAGTTGCAGCTGGTCTTCCTGATATTCCTCCACCTAAGCCATTACTACCGCCACGACCTTTCCGTCCAAGGCAAGGGCCGTTCAATTTCAACGACGGAGATCAGGTTAGATAGACAAAAATGATAACAAAACAGTTAATTTCAAGCAATCAAGAGGAGATGGTTGTCCCTTAAATGGTAATTCAAACAACAACAATAACGAAAATGGCTGTCCGTTCAATAATCAAAATCAGGTAGAGTAAAGGAGAAATCAATGAAATTATATGGTGCTCAGAATTGGAACGATAATGGGTGTCCCGTGAGCAATGGTAATCAGATCAATAATTTTAACAATAATTTTGAAAATGGCTGCCCACTAAATCGTGGCGGCAGCTCTCCACCTGCATCTCAGAATGGATTAGGCCTTGTGCCTCGAAATAATCAAAATAGCAATAACAACAATATCAATAATGGCAAAAGTAGTAATAACAATAATAATTGGAATGAGCAGAGCAACGGTTGTCCTATGAACAACCGAAACAGTAATGGAGGCTGCAATTGGAGCAACGTCAGTGACTTGCTTATCTGTTTACTCTTCTCAATCTGCAATTTCAGAACAACAATGGCGATGATGGTGGATACAATCAACAGATGATCATTACACCTAAAGGCAACTCAAACCAATGGGGAGCCGAAAATGTAAAACTGACAGTGTTTACAGCATTTGAATATATATTTCAGAGAAAAGTCGAGAGCAACTGGAACGAAGAGCAGACTCATATCGGTAACAACAATGGTAACAACAATAACGGCAATAGTTTCCCAACAATCGAAAGAGGATCTGCAAAGGTAACTTTATGGGAAAGAAAAGGAAAAAGAAAATCGTTCAGAATAGCATGGGAAGTAATCAGTGGAATAACGGTGGCTTCAACGGAAAATGGAGTAACTCAGACAACTCCATGAACTCGAACAACAATCGGCCCAATTGGGGGATGGAAAAAGTTCCCCAGGTTTTTACATGCCGGACTAATAGTTGATTGAGATTTGCTTGTAGGATAACAATAATTGGAATAACAACTTCTCAAATAACAAGAGAGGAGGTGATTTCAATAAACCTATCATACCATCAAAGCAAAACGGCCCCAGCAATAGAGGAGGACAAGAAAAGAAGCGAGGAAAAGATTATGATTATGATTATGAAAGTGATAATCAATGGAATGGCAGGAAAAGCTCAAACATGAACCTTCCAACAAACGATAACAGAAATACTTGGAACAGTGGAGGGTCTCAGAACAACAGGGTGCCGACAACATTCAGATCACGAAAACCAGGTGAGCATTGCTATTGTTACAGAAAACTGATTTTGCATCATCTTTCAGTAGAAGAAACGTGTGTTGAAGGCTCAGAATATTCTTTAGCTGGAACAGTTCCAAAATGCACACCACCTGGAACAGATTCCTGTCCCATCTCTCATCCACGTTGTCTAAACTCTCTCACTCATGGGTACTTTGTGTGTTGTTTATAATTTAATTTATTGTTATTCACTCAAATTAAGTGAAGAAAAGAGCAGATTAACTATATAATTAAGTTAAGATAGTTTAATAAATTATTTATAAAAGATAGATTGAGAGAGGCAGAAGAGAAAACGAAAAAACAGAACTTGAGCTGAAACACAAAAATTCAGCCGATCTGTTTAGTACAAATTTTACCTTTTTTCTTCCTTCTTGTCATTCTCTTCAAACGAGAGAGGTTTTGCTGAAATCAAGAGGTTTTCTGAAACAACAGGAGTCATGCAACTTACGCATCAAACATTTGCCCGCAGAACAGCGCTCAATAATGCAGTTGAGACCTATTCGATCCGATTCTGTTGTAGCCAAAGATATGTTCAAGAAGGGCTTCAAGAGTTCAACTTCAGAATATCATTGAAAATAAAATAACCTTGTGATCCAAGTTACATCCATGAAGTGAACAATAACATTCCATAAGCCCGTGATAGATCGTACAGAAAGGTATTGAAGTATCACTTTCTTTCTAAGAATTATTAAGGATAAGATTAATTGAGTGTTAATGGTGATATCAACTTGTGTTATGACTGAAATGAGCGTGTTCTTGGATGCATCGACCAATCCAGCGGAAATTCGGTACTCGGAGTCGTCGTGAAAACTTGTACAGTCGATTAATTCGAAGTTAAAAGAGATTTTGCAGAAAGAACCCTGAGATATCATGTGAATGGGATTTCAAAAGCAAAGTTAACCTTTCTATTAGCGGTAACATAGGTTCTTAGCTCTGAATCATAGCATGTTAAAACACTAAAAAATAATGTTTTCTTCTCTTTTCTTTTCTTTTTTTACCTTCCTAATACGATAACTTGTAAAGACGACAGTACTGCCCAAACCAACTTCATTTTGACATTGAGCTGGCGTTGCAACGTGGGTAGCGTGAAGTAGGCGTTGGATTATGCTAATTTCTGTCAGGCTTCTCTAATCAACTTGAAAACTTGGATTTCTTCTATGTTTTTGTCTTGGTTTGATGAACTATGATGTAAAACACTGCACCTTGTTGGAAAATCGAATTGATCGAAGTTTCTTTTTGTGAAGTGGAGCTGGATCGAGAAGAAAAAAATAGATTGAGAGAATGAGGACCAAAGCTGAAGAAGGAGAAACATCGTACATTAGGATGACATCGAGGTATTTCTGTCAGAAATAGGCATGGAAAGCCTCTGGAGACACCTTAAGTTGACAAATGTTTTTTTAAAAGCTTTTTGACGTTTCACTTCATAAATGAAGTGGACCTCATCTCAGTGCTTCTTATTTTTGAGCCCGCAATACTTGTTGTTTGAGCTATCATCATTCAGTTGTTTGTATTAGTAATTCATTCTTATGTTTATACCTTAAAAGGAGTTTTGACATAATTGCTCTACGCTCAATTTCACTTAAAAGTAATCCCCATTTGACCACTTCTATTGTTGGTCCTCATTATCCTTTCAAAGCTTCCGAATAGAGCTCTAAATGATCCACGTAAGAAATGCTTTGAACATACAGACATTCAGGGTTTATCCTGCACGTCTCAAACTTTAATTTCATTTATAGAACCTTTTTATTGATTTATATATACTTATATCTATATGTGCGAAGATAATTTAAGAACGTTCTTCCAGCTTCTTCCACCACCACCACCACCGACACACCAATAGCACTATCATTGCAAGAAAGAATTGGTGTTAGAAGCTAAGTCGTCAAGACTTGGTTATATTAACCGAAAATTTGCTTTTCACCGATTTTCTCGTCATTTCAAACAAAGCTTCAAGTGCTGACATATCTTCGATAGATGAAATCTCTAAATATGTCGTTTATTCTCACTAACTGCTAAAGCCATAATCCGAGTTTGTTGAAGCCATACGTAGCCAATTTTCCATCACACAAAAAACCGATTGGAAAATTCAATTTTGTCTGAGAAAATTAGTCATTTTTTCATAGTTTTTGGTCATTTTTTATGAATTCTCAATGAATTTATCAAATTGAATGTAAAAACACGACGTACTTTCTCACATGGCTTATATGAACTCATTACTTGGTTTTCAATTCATGGCGATGTTGAAATGCATTGTCTTCAACTGCCAGCACATAGCTTTTCATCTTTTCTTTCTTTTTTTTTATTTTACACTAAAAATCTCTTATTGTTTGTTTATTTAAACATTTCATAATTATGTTTGTTCATTGAAGATGTCCGGCTTATACATACCATGGACGAATATCATATTGGCTGCCAATCAGTTGAGTATCAATCTCACAATGGAAGGTTAGTTCAGTTATCCTATCACATAGCAGTGCCTTGAAATACCTGTAGCAGGTGATGCTAGTTGTAGTTTTCATAAAACTCAAATCTACAAAGCTTCTAACGCTCGCTTACGAATCATATGAGTGGCTTCCGGTTTTGAGCAAAAACATCTGAGATTTGCAACCAGAATGATTGATTTCTTGAAAAAGGTGTTTGAAATACATATCACTTGAGACCAGGTGAAGTTCTCATGTAAGCAGTCTGGAGTATCTCCACACGCACTTGAAAGCTTCAAACAAACGTGAAATTGGAAAAGAGATGGGGAAAGTCCACGTTCCACGTGAGAACATGAACTGCAATTATTACTTTTAATATTATAAAGGCTTACGTCGGTCGTTCATATCATAGTTCACATCGCTCATATCATAATTCAGGTAAGCTATTGATCAAAGAAGCTCGAGCAAGTTGATTAAAATGGAAATGTAAGACAGGTCAAACAATTAATGTGTTTGGGGTGGTAGAAAGATGCGGAAGAGGAACAGCTAGAAACGGATATGCTGTCTTCTTAACTCTAAACAAGCAACATTTGTGGAGAAAGCTAGACATCATCTATATACAATCCTCATCTTCTCTCTATCTCGCATTCTTTTTATGTCTGAATGTCTTTCGTTCTATTCTGCTCTCCTTCAATCCATCTTCTTGTGGACTTCCTCAAGGGAGTTAACGATTAGGGCTCTTTATCGCTTTCTGACCATGCACACATCAAACTGCTTGTTCCATCGTTCCTCTTCTTCTTATTCCAATATATACAATCATCTTATAATCATTGCTCCTCTTTCTTTTTTCCTTTTTTTTTCTCTCTTTCTCTCATTCCCTCTCTCTCTTAATATATCTCATCATCTATCGTTCTCTCTCTCTCTCTTTCTCTCCCTTCTCATGAACAACTCAAAGAAGAAAAAGAATGAAGAGATCCCACCCTTTTTCACAAACACATACAACTCTTTAACTTGTATTTCTAAGTCATTATGTCATTGAACGCCTTTTTAAACATTTTTTCGTTCCTCTCCAACAACCAAAACATCTTCATAATGTATAACAGTGCGTCAAGACGTTCTCTCTCTCACACTCCTTCTCTCTCCTTCTATCTCTCTCTATTTCCTACCATTTGAAATTTTGATCTTAAAAGTCTTGAAACTCTAGTTAATCGCTTTAATTTGCTTTGAGAAATCACAATACTTTCCGCATCCCAAAGATCATTCACACATTTCCCGTCATTTCTTTTTCTTCTTTTTTTTTTCTTCGAAATTAACAAGTACAAGCTAAGTTTTGAGAGATTTTTAGTCAATTTCTTTCGTTTTTCACAGCTTTCCTTCAATTTTGCTATGTTTCAATTGTAAAAGAAGATATGCTGAGTATCGAATATCAGAAGAAACTATTCTCTCCTTTCTCATTGCGTCGTTTTCATGATTACGTCTTCAATGGAGCTTCTTCTTCACTTCTTTCATTTTCTTTTTCTCCTTTATTATTTATAAATTTAATTTGCCAATTAAGCTTTATGAAAGCTTTTAGCACCTTGAGATCGAAAGTTCTTAAGCTGTAAATAGATAGATTAAAGAATTATTTTTTCGATTAAGAAGAGAAGAACGTTATAGTTAAGATATACATATATTAGATGATGAAGATGATGATGATGATGTATACATCTATCTATATAAGGATAGCAGTCCGTAGTTCAACATTCGTTGTATTCTCTGAAGTCCCCTTTGCTTTTAACTGAAGTCATGATCGTCATTAGGGAATTATCATAAAATCCCACAACACAGATTATTGCTTAGGCTACTTGTCTTAGTTCTTTTAGCCATCTTTTTGACCCTCTTAGAGACATGATTAATCTACTTTGAAGCTTTAGCGAATTATACGAAATGTCAATTATTTTGATAAAGTTCTAAGTCATTTTTCTCCTTCCAACCCCCACCCCCCACTCTCTTTATAGTTCTCTTTATAGCTTTTTCTCTCTCTTCGCCACCTCCCTCCCTATCTCCTTCTCTCTCTCTCTCTCTTCCAAACATAACTTTGGCTGCAGCTGCTGAAAAGTTCAACATTTTTACCTTTTTTCACATCAAAATATACTTCTAATTTCCTAATAACATTCGTTGCAATTTCCTTTTTTGAACGGCTATAGCATATGAATTTCGTCAGCTGTAAGGGTGGCCGAGCAATAAATCTCTTGGACCATATGGTTTATGAGAATAGTTTTCCTGCTTTTTCACATCAAACTTTCAACATTTGATTGTTTCATCCGTGATCTCATTTGCTGTTTTTTTTATTCTTTTTGAAGTTTAATAAACGAAAACGTTCACAGAGTCAAAGCTTTTGTTGTTTCGTTGGTAACCCTAACACACACCAAACAGTTTTTTTTTCTTTTGGGAGAATGAAGCAAAAAAGAGGGAGATGGATAGAGAGAGAGAGAGAGAGAAAGAAAGAGAGAAGAGAGAGAGAGAGAAGACATAGACAGCCAGAGAAGGTTTGGAAGTGGAAAACTTTGTTCAAATCTGTCTTGCCATTCCATTTTGTTTTCCTCACTATTGTAAGTCTCATTAACTTCCAGTTATTTTTCTTTTTAATTTCCTTTCTATCGTTAGTCACTCTTTAAGCTGATTGAAATTACTTTTCAAAAAAATGATTTGCGGACTATTGAATAATGAAAACAGAGTGGAGGAGAGACAATATGAATGAACTATCTTTTGTCCGAAACAAGCTGTGAACGAATTTTGTTTTCATTAATTTCGGCTTCATTGGTCATCAGTAGCAAGCAGTATGATGATTCCTTCACTCCATTTTTTAGTTTTGTCATCATCAAATCTTTCTTCTCTCTCTCTCATCATTACCCTCTTCCTCTCTATTTCCTTTAACCCCCTTTTACTCTCTATAAAGCATTTGGTTTCTGTGCTGGCGGTACTGGCTTAATGCCTCTGATGACTCTATGAAATCAATTTGTTTACAAGTTGTTTACTGTTCTTTTCTCGTGAACAATATGTGTCACTCATTATGAAAATTAAAGTTCTTCCTCCTCTCTTTCATTTCTTTTAAAAGCCCCCAGCTCACTCCCTCTGCAAGCCTAGATACCTCGCTATGTATCTCTTTTGAGACAAAAACTTTGTTTAAGGCCCGTTTGTATGGAAGAATTATAATTCACATAAATCATTCAATCATATCTCACCCAAGAACGTCAGACAGAAGAATCTTTAAAACGTCAAGCATTCAGAGGGCTTTGCGTCTTCAGAAAAACTCACATAGTTAATGGTCAGTTAACTATGTGAATTTCTTTTTCATGTTCCTCTTAATCAAATAATATTTGAAGTACTTTATGACACTCTCTATATCCTTTAGCATTTTGCATCACACGCACTTGTTAACTCTCTATCTCTCTTTGCTCTTGCTCACTCTCTCTATCTCTTATACTACTCTCTTCATTACCTCATCTCTACTTTAAGAGAATAAAAATTAAATTTGCATCACTCATAACCGTTTGTGTCATTTCTAAGGTCATCAATTTGCTGCCAACTTTCACAGATTTTCGCGTCCCATTCTCACATTCATCCATTCCCAAAATAGCAATCTTCTTCTTAAATAATTAAAATCGTTCCAATAATTTTTTATTATTTTCGTAATAAAAGTATAAAAAAGGCCAAATAGACACCACCTCACCTAACTGAATTTCCATTCAATGAAGCGTATTCTGATGCTCGATTTTGGAAGAAAAAAACAATTTTTTAACAAAAAAAAAGAGAGAAAAAGCAAAAAATGTCGTTCTGTGCCAGCAGAGTCATTTCAGTTTGTTAACTTTATATGATATTAATTAATTATTTTATATGAATAAGAGGTAGTTTTGGTAGTTTCTTGATGGCGTCATTAGAGTTCGGAGATGGGAAGAGAGAGAGAGAAAGGGGGGAGAAGACGGCTTTCCTTACTATATGCCTATGGATTAGAGAAACTAAGTACTTTCATTTGAGTTTTGTGATTTATTCATTCGTCACGCACCTTGTCACATATGTTTCAATGAAAAATTAAATTTCTCTATCTGAACTTCATGTTTTGTCAAATCTTTTTAGACTTTTATGTACTTAATAGATCTCGTTTAAGAGAGCACAAAAAGAGGAAGAAGCATATAGGAAGAAAAGAGGAAGAGGGAGAGAGAGAGAGAGATAGAGGGACGGAGGGAATGTTGAAGAAACTTTCACCAGATGCTGACTTGTTGGTGAACAAGCTTATTTATGCTAATATCCATCAGAGAATTGAATAGCTTTGATGAATCTTCTTCTTCTTCTTCATCGTCATCGTCATCTTCTTTTGCGTAATTAATAATCATTCTCTTATTATTCTTCTCACCCACTCTCCTAATCAAAACAATTTTTAAGTGAAAACGTCAAAAGTTTGAGAATGAAAGCGTACGAATTGAAAAACCCACGTAAAATCTCACACACAACCGAGAACTTTATTTTGAAAAATAGAAGTACGTAGAGCGGTTGTGTATTGGTCTGTATACAACAAAATATTTTTATTTGAATGCACAAAAATTATTTAGAAAGAGGGAGAGAGAGAGAAATAGAGAGAGAAGGAGGGAAAAAATGAAAGAGTAATTGTAATTAGAAAGGAGAAGCATGTTTTTGGTGCGAGATAAATCAGTTCATTCGTTTAGGATGCAAAAATTCTTTTTTTTCTTTTTTTTTTGACCTGCAACCAGCAGTCAGTCAGTCAGCTTAGGTTGCATAGCATTGAAAAGAACAAAAAAATGATACAAAGCTTTATAGCCATATTGGTCGTGTGAATAATAAGCAGTCAAGGATATTTGTCATTTAAGTACAATGAAAAATAAATTTGTGTTTCTTTTTATTTCAAAAAGATTTATTGTCATTTTTTGACTGCCTCCCAGCATATATGAGTTGACGAGCGATTAACCGTTTCATCGCCTAATCGGCCTCTCCCTCTCTCTCTCTCTCTCTCTGGCATCCAAAGCTTATTTAGCTTTTTCCTCTTTCATTTCAGATTTTGTGTCTGTCTTTATGTCTTTTACATATTTGATGTTTTTACTCGCAATCCTTCATTATTGCCGATTATAGCCTAATCTTATTGAAAAGTTTGGAGCACGTTGCGAATTTTATTAAATTGGCCTTACGACTTTGCATTTCTTTTGCCTTTTTTGTCTGTCTGCCTCCTTTCTACTTCACTTTGCTGTTGCCCTCCTCTACTCTGTTTGAGGGTGTTTGCAGCACTTAACAACAAACACCTTCTCTCTATATATTTTATTCTTTTTTCACTTTACTTAAACTCTGCTACTACCTGCTTAATACAATCAACAATATTCTTGAACACCTTTTTTTGTCCCCACAAACTATCCATCAAAGAGTTCCAGCTGCACTCAGTAAGCTCTTTCCATATTTGAATATTCTGATGAATTGCGAAACGACGCCAGTATTTCTTCGTTTAAGTCCTTTCCTCCGTCAAGACATCCCTTCAACTTCTGCGTGAGATTCACGTGTTGTTAGCATATTGAGCTTCGTTATTCATTATAGTCAAAAAGCTGTGAAGCGGTTGCATTCGTTCTCCAAAATCTCATGAAAAGCTTTGTTTTTTTCGTTTTGAAATCTTAAATTAAAGCTCTGAAAATTGATTTTTGAATGAAAATAAGATGGAACGATTGAACAGAAGGACTAAGAGGGAGAGAAAGCTATAGAGAGAGAGTAAGATAGAGGGAGTAAGCAGGAAGACGAAAAGAGAGGGAGAGAGAGAGAAGGAATTCTAACATATCAAAAGACACAAAATTAATGAGACATCTCCATTGCTTATTTGACGAGAAAATGGAATAGAAGTACTTAAATTTAGTAAAAAAGATAAAGCTTGTTTCTATTTCCCTGTTGCCATATGTCCTTTCGATTCGTTTATACTCTTCAATCTCTAATTGACTGTTATTTACTGTATGTTTATAGATATAGCACACAGGATATATATCAGATAAAGAATGAAATGAATAATCTTTGGTTCCTTATACTTCTTCTAACTCTACAATCATCTGTCTATAGTTCAAACTCGTGGAAAAAACGACGTCGTCGTGATGGAACTGAAAAAGATCAGGATGCATACGGACGCATATTATATCCTAAGCGTCCACATCATCATCGTTCTGAACATCCAGAATTACGTAATCCACCGTTGCCGGATGAAGATGGAATTTCGGAATTTGTACGACGAGAATATTCTGATAACGTCTACAAGAAAGTTCGGACGTACAGTAAGTTGTGGGCAAGAAGCTTATAATACCTTCATGCACTATTCTCTCAATTAGATGATTGACACACGGCATTGTGGAGAATAAAAGACGAAAATCATTTTGAAATTAGCACAATGCATTTTTGAGAAACATAATGGAATTAATGGAAATAATCTTAAGAGAGTGAAAGGAAAAGGGGTGGGCAGAGGAGTCAAAAAAGAGAAAAAGAGAAAATGAGAGAGAATAGGGTGTTGGAAGAGATTCAATCTAAACCCTTCGAACCCTAGTAACAGCATAACTGAAGGACTCCTTAACCTCATTCAGCTTATTTCGTATTCTTTTGAAAATTCTCAAAGAATCGGTCTCAGATGGAAGAATATATAATGTTATTATGGCCTTCACCGGCTCCATGCTCACCATCTCTCAGTCTTCTTACCCGATGCGCTTTTTTCTATTTCCTGTATCATTTCGTTAATAATATTTTAAATATTAAAAGCTATGGAAAAGGTATATATAACCTTTGAGGGCTTAAAATATAATTTCATGCATAAATTACTAATCCTCCCCAAAGATTGTCCGCTGTGGTCGTCCAGGTTCTTTGCATCTGATTTGTATTCCAAGCGACCAGAAAAAAGAAAAAAGTTACGTCAAGCAAGTGCATCTCTTTCTCTCCACACTTCCCCCCCCCCCCCCCCCCCCCAAAAAAAAATAAACAAAAAAAAAAAAAAAAAAAAAATTATTTTTTTTTATTAATTTTTTTTCGGGGTGGGGGGGGGGGGGGGGGGGG